CGGCCGCCTTCTCCGACGGCCTCCCCGCCTCGGCCGCAGCAGAAAGCCTCGGGGGGCGTCGACTGCCCGGACGGGGCGGATCTGGAAGGGCCTACGCAGGAGAAGGCAGTGGCGGTGGCAGCAGTGGCAGCCCCCGGGGGACCCCTTTCGATCCCGGGGAGGAACAGAGCGACCTTGGAGACTGGACCTCTTCCGCCCACCCTATACGTGCAGCTGCACGGAGAGACCACCCGGCGCCTGGAAGCGGACGAGAAGCCATTGCAGATCCAAAATGACTACCTCTTCCAGTTAGGATTTGGGGAGCTGTGGAGGGTACAGGAAGAAGGCATGGACTCAGAGATTGGCTGCCTTATCCGCTTCTATGCAGGTAAGAAAACCCTGTGCACGTTGACATGTGCGTTCCAACACTGGCAGGAACTGAGAAGTGATTCACCTGCCCAGCCCACTAATAAATGCAGTTCCCGGTTCCTTTGATATTATTTTTTAGCTTTCACATACAATCTGTGTAAGAACTGTCTTAAATCGAGCAATCTTTAAATCTGAGAGTTTCGGTCAATCTCGAGGTCTCAGGGGTTGGAGAGCAAGGTAAGGAGGTGGCAGAATCACCAGGAAGTACAGGAAGCAGATACATATTCCTGAAAGCACTATACTAAGGTTGCTTTCTTAATGTGTCTCCTCCGGTTTGGGCTTGTTCACTTTTAGGTAGTTTGGAATTTCAGGTAAACTGTCACGTGCCCATAGTACTAAAAGTAAAATGACCGACAGAAATGTTGTAGAATACTCCTCCTACATAAGGCTTTCCCCATACCATTCATAGACTGTAAGTACAGGCAAAGAGCTTGTTCCTTATCAATTTATGCCCTTGTTTGTGCCACTCTGCCATACTTACCAATGGAGTCCTCACTAGATACCCAACAAATAAGATGTTGTTTTTAGTAATATTTTTCCCCAGCACACTGTTTTTGCTTTATTTCGGTTTACTCTGTAAAGTTTGAGTCATACCTCAAAAATGGCTTTGCCTGTTTCTTTAGAACTGTCAATGGACATAGGACCTGCAGTAGGGTTCACAATAAGAATTTAAGTGTTTACTATCTCTTCAAATGTGACCCCAAGTCCTCTGCAGTCTTTTTCTTGGTACCAGATCAAGTTCTTGACTAGGAATGACTAATGTAATGTTTTTCTTCTGGCTAAAGATTCGGCTGGCATTAATTTAGGTTGATAGATACTGGTTATTGTATTTGAACTTTATAAATTGGTTGCATCCTTTTTCTCTTCTGAGTTGAATTAAGTTCTTAGTGATAAGAAATTTCTTAAGTTATCATAGAGGAATTTAGTCAGGAGAATTGTTTGCAGACTTTAGATTTTAGGTGGTTGATGATGGTGGAATATCTTACTAGCAACTCCATTAATCTGTATCTCTTCTTTCAGATTTAGTATGTTTTGATTTAACTTGTGTTTTAGGTTAGTTACTTTGAATGAAGAAATCTTTGCTCCCACATCGAAATATAGCAACCCCGTTGAAATGTTCTTCTAAGTTTTATTGAAGTTTTTCTGAAATTCTTAGGTGGATTTCTGATAAATCTTTGCCGTACAAAGGAAACCAAATCATAATACAGTAGAATTTGCAATATCTGTAGAGAATATCTCAGCTAAGTGATACACCTTTTAAGCTTTTGGCCTAGAAAATAGGGGACTTTTTTTTTAAATGTTGGAGCAACTACTCTATCCTTTTGTCCTATGGCTCATCTAACTTGCAAAATAAGACTGTATAGAAACATGACTTTCACACTTGGAAGGAGAATATTTATTTTGTTATCTTGACAGAAGTGCCCTTATAACTAAAAACTACATGAAGGAAAGAACATGTAAAACAAGATGTGTGAAATAAACTATCTGAGCATATTTTAATATGGAAGGAGCTCTGCATCCCTTATTCATGATTAGATATGTGATCTTGATAGATGACCATGGGAAGATTTTGGATGTCAAGAGTTGTGAAATTTAAATCTTTGATTCTGTTTGATTGTCTTCTCAAGAGTGTCTAAAATGTTCTAAGTGATTAGTGGTGTTTTTGTTTTTCTGATTTATCTCAATGAAAGTGACAAGTCCTTTTTCTGGTTAAATCTTAAATTGCTGGTCTGGCCACTTTAATCTTTTTTGTTTTAATGTTTATAAAAAGCAGTAGTTGTTACTCTGAACTTACTGCCTTATTTCTATATGCATGGCATAAATATATATGTGTCTCTGTGTGTATGCTCATAAACCTAGCTAATAAAGCGGGGATGCAGCACATAGTATCCAGTCTGTTCTTAAATATTAACCAGTGTACAAGTGTTCTAGAAAGAAGGTGCTTGTTACAACATGTCTAATTTTTTATTTTAAGCCTAAATCAATATACCAGATGTCTCTGTGCTGATACTCATTTGCCATAGAACAAAATTTAGCATATAATGAATCCACTTGAACTCTTGCAAGGAAGTTTTGATATTGGTGAACAAAAAGGCCTTACTCTAAGGTGATCTCACCAGAACATTGCGAGAATTTCACATATAGTAAACGTTTTTGTACCAGGCTGAAGCAATTCTTAGAAATTACTGCTGTGTGCTGCTGAATATCTGACACCCCAAAGGAGAGTGTTTTGGTAGTTAATTCTTTTCCTAGGAAGAGAGTAATGTTTTTTCTTTTTAGCTGACACCCTTTAAAATGGTATTGGAAAATTGTTTACCTGGTTTTTATAGAATTTATTTTTGAATTTATTGTTACATGTTGTTTTATGTATGAATGGAGCCAAGGATCACAAGGGAAATTGCCTTTAAGGCCTTTTGAATATTTTCTTATATTTAAATTGAGCTCATTATTTTCTGTCTGGTTTATCTGGTCAGCTACTTTTAAAGACACTCTTGTCCAGCACAGAACTTTAATGCTTTTGAGGGTCAACTTTCAATTAAATTTTTCTATTTATAACCTGATTTGGGTTATTCTTTAAAGGCTTTGAAAGCCGTTTGTGGTTGTTTTAAATGGTTAAATATTTATTTGGGTAAAAGAAAATCAAAGTCTTTAATGAAGTAGAAGTGCTATCTAATTACAGGGTTGTTAATGAAAACCTGTTAGAAAAGTGTTATTGTACCTATCATGCAACCAGTCTCTTAGCTGTTTCTAAAATATGGAAAATTAAACGGTTTTATTTGAAGGAGTTATTTGTCTGGAGTATGCTAATTAAATTGTTAACATTTAATTTCTTATTAAAATAAGACATCTTAAATTTTGCCTGAAAGTGTAACTTTAGGTTAAAAAAATTCAAGACCTTAGATTGCCTGACGTAAGAAGTTAAGGACTCCTAAACATGAATGAGCTTGTGTTTCAGATTCTCTGGGAAGCCTGTGTTATTGAGCAAGAGCAGTATTAAATTATATTTTTTGACTCTACTACCTTTTAGGTCTAGTGTGGTCTAGCTATTTCAGTTCAAACTGTAATAAGGAGAAAGGATGTTGACAGAAGAGCACACACATGGTACCTGTTGACCCCTGGACAAGATGTTTTCACATGGAACTCTTTGGGATTCCTGGGCAGACAATCTTCTTACCCCTCTCATACTGTCTTTTCTTTCTTCTGGGAATGATCAACCCTTACATGGTTTCCTACATGGAAACCAAAAAGGGATGGTTTAGCATTAAGTTGTAATATTGACAAGCAGGTTCTTATTACTATAATTACAGCAGTATTGAGTAATGTGGTTTGAACACATGACCCCACTGTGTGCTTGAACAGGCCCTTTTTTTTTTTTTTTGGTACTGAGGATCAAACTTAGGATCTTTCACTTGCAAGGCAGGTGGTGGAATCACTGAATTAAATCTCCAGCCCTTGAACAGGCCTTTTAAGTACAAAGAATTTAAATTTATTATTGTTGTTTTTATATCTTACTTTTTTATAGTTTTATTTTTATCTTTCCTTTTTTTGATGTAAAGTACATGCTCTTTTTGTAATTATGGTTTGATAACATCTATTCAGCTTTGAATTTTATCTTTAGAATCTTACAAGGGCTTTACATAAATTATCTCATCTGTCCTGTAAAAAACATTATTAGGGAGGAGTTGGTGTCAGTCCTCTTTTCAGGAGAAACTGATGTGCAGAGATTTGACTTTTGCTGTTTTTTGTGTTTTTTTTTTTTCAGTCCTTGGTAGAGCCAAGAGTAGAGCTGGGATATTTTGTTTTGCAATTTATACTACTTTCCATAAATCAATCAATGGTGAATTTCATTTACACTTCAAAATTTTCACTTGGAAATATTAAAAAAGTGTACTGTGTGTGGATATTGCAGTGATATTATCCTCTCATTCTGAATGGTGTTTCTTGTAAAATGTGTATATTGTATTTTTATCATGTTACCTTTACAAAGTACAGAACCAAGAGTGGCAAATAGTAGATAATGTAGAAAGTACTAATGTTTAAACTGTTTTTGTTGTTGTTGTGGGGGGGAATGGAACTCAGGACCTTGTGCTTGCAAGGCAGGCTATTTACTGCTGAGCTAAATCCCCCTAGAAAATTACTAATATTTCTAAATATTTTAGTTGCAAATAGTGATACTATGTTTAAATTGAACTGAAATAAAGTTTAAGTAATTTTTTTTTCCTGTGCAAGGGATTGAACCCAGGGCCTCACACATGGAAGGCAAGTACTTGACCACTGAGCCACACTCCCAGCCCTAAACAATTCTTTATTCTTGTATTTAAGCAAGACTCATTTGTTAAACTGTAAATCTTCATTGGGAAGTAAGGAATTAATACTTCACCTGAAAAGTGGATAAATTTTGAGAGTGGAGCTGTGATTATTTGATGTCCTTTTACAGGTAAGGTACTGAAAATACCCATCATTAAAGATCATATTTATTTTTTATTTTAAAATCAAGTTACATGTACACTGATGATAGTACTTTATTGGTGTTACTGTACTCTTGTACCATTTTTTATAATTAATGTGTTAGCATAGAATTGAGAGTAAGTTCTTCCCCCTTATATTCATCATACTTATTCTTAGAACGGTGTGTGCTTTTTACTCAATAAAATACTGGTGGTGAGAGAAGATGAGTCTGAGTGAATTTGTGTAAACATTCAGATTGAAAATTGTGTCTTTTTCTTGCTGTAAGATTGTCAAATTGGGGCTGGGTCTGAAACTTAGTGAGCACATGCTTAGCATATTGGAGGTCCTGGGTTCAATACCTGTCTGGAAAAAGAGAAAAAGATTGTTAAATTGATTATCTTAAATGCCTAGTTATCTAGAAGTGATGTTGTGTGTGTGTGTGTGTGTGTGTGTGTGTGTAAGATATGTTTGTTATTTGTCATTCTCTTTGAAGCCTGAATTTAGCTTTTA